CCAATCCATTTCCCCCCTCCCCAGATGTAACCTGACTCCGAAGTTCCTATGTGTCTCACCTCTCAGAGAGACCTTTAACAATTCACTGGTTCTTCCTCCTCTGAGTGTCCCTTAGTTCAGCTGTGGTCTGCCTACCACTGGCACAGGAATCACCTGGGGTGCTTGTAAAAAATACAGATCCCAAGGTCCCAACTCTTGAGATTCTGTTTTAGTAAGTCCAGGGTGGGGCCTGGTCACCTTCATTTTATTATCATTTTTTAATTTTTATTTGTCTTTTACCTTCATTTAAAAAAACATGCAAGGTACAAATCAAAACTACAATGAGATAGCACTTCATATCCACTAGAATGGCTAGAATGAAAAATACATACAATAAAAAGTTGGCAAGTATGTGGACAAATTAGAACCCTCATACATTTCTGGTGGGAATATAAAATAGTGCAGCCATTTAGAAAACAGTTTGGCAGTTCCTCAAAAAGTAAAACAGAGTTAACACATGATCCAGCAACTCCACTCTTGGTTGTTCACCCAAGAGAAATGACAGCCTATGTCCACACAAACACTTACACATGAACGTTCATAGCAGCATTATTTGTAATAGCCAAAAAGTGGAAACAACCCAAATGTCCATCAACTGATGACGTCGATAAACAAAATGTGGAATATCCATACAATGGGATAGTATTCAGCCATAAAAAGGAATGATGTCCTGATACATGCTACAACATAGATGAACCTTGAAAACATTATGCTAAGTGAAAGAAATCTCACACACAAAGAACACATATTCTCCTTATTGTTTTCAAAGGTATGATTCTATTTATATGAAATATCCAGAATAGACAATTCTATTCATATAGCTTAGTGGTTGCCTCAGGCCAGGAGGGAAAGGAATGGTACAGGGTTTCCTTTTGGAGTAGTGAAAATGTTCCTAAATTAGATGTGGGGATGGTTATACAACTCTGTGAATACAGTCATGTGCCGCATAACGACATTTCAGTCAACGACGGACTGCATATATGATGGTGGTCCCATAAGATTAGTACCATATAGCCTGGGTTTGTAGTAGGCTATACCATCTAGGTTTGTGTAAGTGCACGCCATGATGTTCGCACAACGACAACATCGCCTAACAATGTATTTCTCAGAATGTATCCCTGTTGTTAAGCCACACATGACTGTATACTAAAAAAACATTGAACTGTATGCTTTAAATGGATAAATTTTATGGTGTATGAAACATACCTTAATAAAGCTATTAAAAAAAGAAGAGATAAGAAAAATATCTAAGGTAATTCTTATGCATACTAAAGTTTGACATAGCCTTAAGTAGTTCCTACAGTTCTACACTTGGGCCTTTTCTCATTTCCCAGGTCCCATCTATTCCTACATGCTGAAAACTCCCAAGTATAAATCTTGTCCTCTCTTTCTCTCTTCTGAGTTTCCAAAATGCCTACTGAGTATCTTCTCCTGGGGTGCCTGAAGGTGCCTCAATGTTTCAAAATCCAAACCTTCCATACATACTTACTTAAAAACAATAACAACAGTAACAACAGCTACAACCACCCTTGCTCTCTCTCCTAGATTACATGCTATCATTTAATCCTCTGTTTCAAACTAAACACTCCAGACTTGTCTCCCAGTGCCCCCATCCCATTCCTCCTGACCATTTCTCCTGTTGGTCCTCTCCTCTTCAGACCCACTGTTATGGCCTGATTCTAAGCCTTCCTCAATCCTCTTGAGGAGACTCCTAACTGGTCTCCCTGCCTCCATTTTAAATCCTGTTGGTAATGAGTTCTGTGCAGTGCTGCCACAGTGATCTCTCTAAAACACATACCAGACCAGGTTTCTCTCCTTCAATAGCTCCCTATTGCCTGCACGGGATTCTGTCTCTAACCTCATCTCCCACAGTCACACACACACATCCCAATGCTCCAACATCTCTTCTCAAGAGAAGTGTATGACTCTGAATATACACAAAGCACTCTCACCCCTCATACGCATTCTTCTACACCCAGATGACTTTTCTAAGAAGTTTCTCCGATATAAGTGAACAGTTGATTACTCTGCCATATAACTTCTTCAGGATGGAGTACTAAACTTAGCATGGCCTTTGGAGTCAGACACACCCGGAATCCAATCCAAATTATGTTGTTTGCCAGCTATGTAAACAAATGGGAAAAATACCTATCCCGCATGGTTTCTTTCACAGTCTGCTCTTAAAATACCAAAATCGATGAAATCTTGCTATAATTTGATAAATCAGATTCAGTCTAAGGTAGAGATATCCTAAACTTAAAGAAGCAAAAGACTTTGTCTAAATCATCTTGTTTAACTCTCTTTAATGTATAGCCAATCAACAGATCACTTTATTCTTTGTAGACAAAGACTAAGTTTACTTGTTACCTTTGATAACAATAAAGAGAATATTACAGCTAAACTGTTGGCTTCCTGATTCAATAAATATTTTTTATTTGTAGTAATTAATAGAGATATACAGGCACTTAAATCTATAGCTATAATTTTTAAACCCTGGAGCTCATTTACTTTTGTTGTTTTATTAGAAAATGCTTAAACATACAAAAAAAAAAGAACAGAGAATAAGATCACAAACACCCAACTGCTCAGTTTTATAATTTTTACTATATTTGCTTAGATATCACTTAAAAAATAAACATTCCAAGACTATAACTGCAGAATCTCTACTAGTAAGCCAACACCAACTCATTTAGAATATCAACCTAAATTACACTAAATTTATTTATTTATTTATTTTTATTTATTTATTTTTTTTTAATTTTATTTTATTTTTTGCCCCCAAAGCCCCAGTAGATAGTTGTATGTCATAGCTGCACACCCTTCTAGTTGCTGTATGTGGGACTCGGCCCCAGGATGGACAGAGAAGTGGTGCCTCAATGTGCACCCGGGATCCGAACCCAGGCTGCCAGCATCGCAGCGCGCGCACTTAACCACCAAGCCACAGGGCCGGCCCATAATTACACTAAATTTAAAGTGAGAAATAGCTGTGGAATTGAAATTAAGAATTCTAATCCATCCTCATTAGAAATATAATGGAAGATTACATCAGCGTTGATTGAAGGCTGTCCCAGGAATGCTGGGTTTTGCCTCCCAATTCACATGTTCTTCTCTGGGATCTACTTCTTCATCTATGGTTCCTATTACCCTTCTCTGAGAACTCAAGACTCAATGGAAATCAGTCCACAGGCAGGGTTGGGCCAATCAGATTCTCTTTCTTTAGAGAATTTGAGCGTTCAAGAGGCAGATATTCTAGTCTATCCTCTACATCAACATCAGTTATCATAAGAGAGCAAATCATAAAGTAAAACGCACATCTCACTCCCATGTTTTAGAAATCTGTTGCCTATTCTTGAAACTTCTTAGCCTAAGATAATCTGGTCTCCACCATTACCTCCTCTTCAACCTGGTGCTCAACGCTGTAATCACTGTGTGGTGGATTAAAGATGACTCTAAATTTTCTGCCAGTCCTACCACTGAGAGGTAAAATCTGTTTCTCCTCCCCTTGAATCTGGGGTGGCCCTGTGACTTGCTTTAATTCAACAGAATGCAGAGGAAGTAAAGCTGTGTGACTTCTGAGGCTGAGCCTAAAGATGTCTGCAGCTTCTGCGTGCTTGGAACGCTGGCGTCAGTCACCACGCGGTGAGAAACCCACGCCATGTCGAGAGGTCATACGGAGGAGAGCCTTGATGTTTGGGTCAACAGCCTCAAGCTGAGCTCCCAACTGACAGCCCACACTGACCACCAGCCATGTGAGTGAGCCATTTTGAACCTTTCTGGCCAGTTGGGCCTCCAGATGACTACAGCCCTTGCCGACACCACTTTGGAGCAGAAGAACTGCCCTACTGAGCCCAGCAAACCACAGAATCATGAGATAATAAAAAGTTGTGGTGGTGTGTTTTTTTTTTTTTAATGTATACAATCTTTATTTTTTAGAATAGGTTTAGATTAACAGAAAAATTAGGAAGATAGTGTTCCCAATGTACTCTGAACCCAGCTTCCCCTATTAACATCTTACCTTAATACATTTGTCACAGTTAATGAACCAATACTGATACATTATTATTAGGTAAAATCCATACTTTATTCAGATTTCCTTAGTTTTTACCTAATGTCCTTATTCTATTCCAGGATCCCATCCAGGATATCCCATTACATTTAGTCATCAGGTCTCCTTAGGCTCCTTTTGGCTGTGACAGTTTCTCAGACATTTCCCATTTTCCTTGACAATTTTGAGGAGTACCGGTCAGGTATTTTGTATGATGCCCCTCTATTGAGATCTGCCTGATGTTTTTCTCGTGATTAGAGTGGGGTAATGGGTTTTCGTGAAAAAGACCACCAAGGTGAAGTGCCATTTCATCACATCACACCAAGCACACATACTATAAACATGACTTAATCACTGTTGATGTTGACTTTGATCACCTGCCTGAGACAGTGTGTCAGGTTTCTCCACCGTGTGAAGCCACACTGAAGGGGTAGGGAGTTATGCTTCATCCACATCCTTGAGAGTGGAGTATCTACATAAATTATTTGGAATTCTTCTGCCCAAGAGGCTGTGATGGTGGTTTTAAATCACTGAGTTTTGGGGGCTGGCCTTGTGGCGCAAGCGGTTAACTGTGTGCGCTCCGCTGCGGCAGCCCGGGGCTCACCGGTTCGGATCCCGGGCGTGCACCGATGCACCACTTGTCAGGCCATGCTGTGGCGGTGTCCCACATAAAGTGGAGGAAGATGGGCATGATGTTAGCTCAGGGCCAGTCTTCCTCAGCAAAAAGAGGAGGACTGGCAGATGTTAGCTCAGGGCTGATCTTCCTCACAAATAAAAAAAAAAAACTATTAAGTTTTGGTGTGGTTTAATATATGGCAAGATATCTAAAACACACTCAAACCTTTTCACCACCTCCTGTTATACTTTACCAGTTAAATATGGTCCATTCTGCCTATAATGCCCTTCCCATCCCCACCCACCTACTCACCAACCAAACGATAAAAATAAACAAAAAAAACCCTTATTTTTTCAACAAAACCCAAGTGTTACCCTCTCCATTGCAGAGCTTCCTTCCAGAAAGAATTCATTGCTTTGACTTAGCTCCCAAGGCACGGTTATTACCACTATCATAGCCCTTACGGTGCAGTTACCTCCCTCAACTAGCCTAAAAGTTCCCAATGCGCAGAGACCATGCCTTATGTAACTTTGCATGCCATACTTAGGACAGCAGCACATAGTAGGTGGCCCATAAGTGTTTGTTGAATTAAATAATTAACTGAATGACTATAAAGGTGTATCATTTTTATAATATTTCAATTAAAAAGATTTTTAAAAGAGAAGGGACAACGTAAATAAATAGCTGTGGTCCAAGACACATCAGTAAATCCACACTAGAACTGAAACCTCCCTTGTAATATAGCTAGACCAGGCACCAAAAAAGCTGATCACTGCATTCAGTGAGTCAAAGCCACATATGACAGAAAAAATAGTATCTGTTTTCAGATCAATGTGACAACATAAATACTAAATTAGGTCACGAGTCTCTTTCTAAGGAAATCAGGCCAATGAAGTACATACCCCCGCCTGTGGATTTCTTGATATGCCATCAAAGACCTTTTACGGAACGTAATTTTCATATTTAACTTCTGAAAGTGGAACAATAAGACAGATTCATGGGTAATTGTGTTAGTTCTATTCAATTTCCTCTCTCACATACATAGCAGGGAAATTAAATAAACCCTGAAGTAGTCCTTGGGAAAAATATAAGGAATAGTCACTGCCTCCGAAGGATATATTCAGGGGCTTCTGAAGTTTTACATTAATAATAACTCTGTCAACTTGTCTTCCTTCAGTATTTACAATAGAAGCTTTCAGTAAAATAGCAGAACTCTCTTTGAGAAAGTGATTAGGTCATATAAAATTGCATTCTACTGACCATGCAGGGGAAAAAAGCTAGTCCTAAACTAATGTGAAATTTAACATTCTTTTTTCTTGCTTCTACTTAAAATTCTTGGAGCTCCAAGAATCAAAACAAAGAAAATCACAGTTCACTGAGGCAACTGTGTGTGTCAGTACCTGGCACAGTTCTGGCACAGAGCAGATGCTCAGTAAATATTTACTGAATTAATGAGATGAAGGGAAAGAGGGAGAGAGGAAAGGAAGTAAAAAAATAAGCAAGAAAAAATGGAAAGAACACTTGTGCCTAATTAAAGAATTATCTATGGCCAATCTACAGCAATCTTTTAGAAGCCATCTTCTGCTTTTTATCTTTCTAGCAGAGAAATGAAGCCTTCCTAAATTCATCTCTCAACTCTTGAAGAATATATAATCCCTAGTCCATCTCCGAACTTAAACACCGCTCTCCAAGAAAGAGCTATGCAAGATGTGGCATAGTTTCAGAGAGCAATTCTTCAAGAGGAACATCAGAATTCACATTCTCCAAGAACATTTCCTTTACCAATCCTGTCCAATCATAAGCATCCCTGATTTCTACTTGCACAACACTTATGTGGGTAATTTTTAAAACTGCATTGATCCTTATATTCATTTATTAACTATTCTAAGCACCTTCTCTACAACTGCCATTCCCAACTTTTCCCCTTAACAGAAAACCTAAACTCTTAGAATCCTCAATCGTGCACTAAACTCTCAGATAACAATGACTTCTATTTCAGAGGCCATGTGAAGAAAAGCTGAACCCCACTTTCTTTCCTCCTCCAAATACCTCTCCACCACCAGACAGGAGTCAGAAGAGCAGGATTCAGCCTGAGCACAGGCACTACTGCAGCACGAGGGGACCAGCCTCATTGATCTCCGGGTTGCTTCAAGCTCCCAAATCTGACGAACCCTTCCCATAAATGCACTTTGCCTTCCTCCACTCATTTCTTCCCTCTTTTCTCAAACATACAGGGCCTCTTCCACTTGAACTAATGCCTCCTTCTCGCTGCTGTTGTCTCCTCCATTTACTTTCAACCTTCCCAAAATTGGGTGGTAGACTATAGCCACAACTTTTACATTTTTACCATTTAATTTCCTTTTTACCTCTAAAATTTGGTTTCTGACTCTCCTACTCTAATGAAATGGCACTCTTGAGCACCATTAATAAGTTACTTTTTAAAACTTTCTTATGATGGAAAATTTCAAGCATGTGCAAAGTAAATACAAATGAATCCCTACGTACCCATCACCAAGCTTCAACAGTTGTCAACATTCTATCATTCTTGTTTCATCTATACTTCCATCCATTCTCCAACCCTATTCGATTATTATTATTTTACAGTTTTTTCAGGTAAAATGTACCTGAAAAATTGTAATTTTTATTGTTATTGTAAATTATAGCAGCATAATTTTGACAAACAGATACCTGTGTAATCCATACCCCTACCAGACATAGAAATCTCCACCTCCCCAGAAAGTTTTGTGCCCCTTCTCTTTAATTAGTTCTTAAAAAAACAAATCCAGATGCCTTTATTTTTTTAATTTTATTTATTTATTTATTTTCCCCCCAAAGCCCCAGTAGATAGTTGTATGTCATAGCTGCACATCCTTCTAGCTGCTGTACGGGGGACGCGGCCTCAGCATGGCCGGAGAAGTGGTGTGTCGGTGTGCGCCCGGGATCCGAACCCGCACCACCAGCAGCAGAGTGCGTGCACCTAACCGCTAAGCCACGGGGACGGCCTCCAGATGCCTTTCTCAATTACCAACCTCCTTGGTTTCTTGGCAGCATCTGACAATACTCACTGTACCTTTTTCTTGAAATTCATCCCTTGATTTCTGTGATGCACAATGATGATCCAGTTCATCCTCAAGTCACATCAGCTTTACCTCTAAAATACGCCTCGTCTGTCTTTCCTCCACTTCCAGTGCCACTACACTAATCCAGTTCACTGTCTTCTCTCTCACCTGAATGACTACACGTATGCCTTCTCACTGGTCTCCCTACTTCTCCTCTTGCCTCTCTCCAATCCATTCCCCATACAGCAGCCAGTGATCTTTTAAAAACACAAATCATATCATGTTACTCCCCAACTTAACAGCCTTCAATGGCTTCCCAGTGTACAGAGAATAAACTCACATTTCTCACCATGGCCTTCAAGTCCTTGCAAGGTCTCTGCCTCCCTCTCTAACCTCCTATTACCACTCCACATGGGACTTCTGACAGTTCTTGGCAGAGCCCAAGTGCTTCTCAAGCTGTTTCCTCCATCTAGAACACTGTTCTTGTAGCTCTTAACATAGCTGGCTCCTCGTCCGTTAGCTCTCAGCTGAAATGTCACCTTCTAAGAGAGGCCTTCCTTGACTAACCTAAGCTTGTTCTCCCAGTCACCCTATATTACATTATTTTATTCATAGTACTGACCATAATCCATAATTATTCTCTTTATATATATTTGTTATTCCCACTCAAATGTAACCACCTTGAGAGTAAGAACCATGTCTTTTTGGTTCATTGTTCTATCCCCTGATAATATGTGCTCAAGAATTATTTATTGGAAAAAAATGGATTTAGCTCAAAATCACTATGTTTTGTAGAAAATTCCCCATTTTCCCTCAAAACCAGCTATCTTTGCTGACTTCTTTTTGTTAACAGGCAGCCACAAATTGTGTTACCATAGTGCTATGATAAATTCCTGCACTAACATCAAATCATTCCAAATATAATAAGAGTAAAACAAAGAGAAGCATAGGAAAGAAAAAAACCCATAAAAACATAAACTAATACTGATGAAGTTAAAGTTATAATCTAATTTCTACTTATTGCAAGTATAAAAAGAACATTCTTTCATTCTTCAGTTTAATTGATTCTAAACTGATAAACTATTCAGTAATTGAAAGATCAAGAAAGCTGGTTTTCTTTTTTCCAGAAAGAAGGTAGAAACTGAGTTTATGGTACAATGAGATATACTATGTTGGTCTAATTATACGCTTGTCAAGTAATCTTCCAATCGCAACTTACCTGTCCAGGGAGGGAATGTACTAGCCAGAAGATCCAAGAATCCAGTCTTCCTTAGGATTATATTTCCTTATAAATTAATAAATTAGGATCTTGGGGAAGGGTCTATATGAACCTCGGAAATCCTGGGGTCTGTGCATCTTGGGTGTCCTAGGTGTGTGTGTCTCTGTGTATGTTTAGGGGAGAGTCCTAGAGTGTGTGCATATCTCACAGATTCTGACTAACCCTAAATGAGATTCAGGATCTAGATGATCTAGACTGATGAAAGTCTACAGTCTTCCGCTTTGGTTACAGAAATAAGGAAGACATCTGGTGAGTTGGGGGAAAAAAAACCCAGAGGACAGGATGACATCTGTCCCTCCACTCATGGACTGTAGAGAGGAGAGATTCAAAAAGAAGCTGAAGGAGCCGTTTCCACGAGGGACTCCAGACTCAGGGCACAAGCAGTGGTTCTCTGAAGCCTAGCCCACAAAGTGCAATGGAACAGAGAAGGTGCAGCCTCTCTAAAACTCAGTGAAGCAGTGCATGAGGCCAATGGGCAGCAAGGACTGGTCTTATGGGAACCCAATGGCATTTTTTTCCTTTTTTTAAAACAATAATTTATTGATGTTAAATTCACATACATAAAAGTAACCATTTTAAGATGAACAATTCAGTGACATTTAGCATATTTACAATGTTGTAGAACCACCACCTCTATCAAGTTCCAAAACATTTTCATCACCCCAAACAGAAACCCCACACCCATTAAGTAGTCACTTCTCATTCCCCCTTCCCCTCAAACAATCCCTGACAACCAGCAGTCTCTGTTTCGTCTCTATGGATTTATCTATTCTGCATATTTCATATAAATGGAATCATACAATATGTGACCTTTTGTGCCTGGCTTCTTCCACTTAGCTGATGCCTTGGAGGTTCCCAGTGACATTTTGACACCTCTCCACTTTTGCTCTGGTGAAGGAATAAGCTTTCCCCAGAGAGTACCAGGAGTAGTGGCAGCAGCAAAGGCCCCCCCTCAGGTGGATTCAGGGCAGCAGACAATGCTGCAGGTGCTGGGGACTGTCCGAGACACCGTGTGAGACACGCTCAGAGCCTCAAGGAAGGATTAGAGACAATTTTGAAAGGAGAAGGAGGGACATGAGGGTGATACTGAGGGTCTCATATGACCAGGAGAGAAAGAGCCACGGAGATTCATGACACAGAGCCAGATAAAGAGATAGATAAACACATAGATAACTATTTATATATAGGGTTTGACAATGATAACATTCCTTCAAGTTTTAGCTTGAAAAACCACATCAAACTAATTACCATTTAAAAGTCTATAACAGAAAAATGTCTAAAAAATGATCAGTGACGCCTCTGTGCAGCAGGAATAAGGGACAGGTTTTTACTTTTTAGATTATGTACTTCTGATTTGTTTTAATTTTTAAAATAAGTATGTATAACTTGCATAATAAAACTTCAAAAGACAAAGTGCCAGTATTCTAAAAATGAATCATAAAGTTCAGTAAAATTTGTTTTAAATTTGTCATGTAGCGTAACAAAAAAGGATATTGAGAAGAAAAAAATCTTCTCAATCTTTGGTTAGATTCTAATTTAAAACAACCTAATTTCTAAATTCACCTAAAACAAAACACCCACTCGACTTGTCCATTGCCTCTGTTGTTTAATTTCTACTCAAACTCTTTGCACCTTTAGTAATTGACTGACCTTGGAACTGCTGTCTTCCGATACTTCTCCCTCATTGGTTTGCATGGGAACAGACTGTGCAAAACTCTGCAGAAACACACAAATACTGCCTAAAAGAGGTAAGAAAAAATATATATAAGGAATTCAGTATGAAAATTTGTTTTTTCAAAGATTTAGATTAAAATTCTGTCACCGAGACCATGGATACTGTGAAGCAAGGAACTTAAGTAACTTAGTTGTGTGTGTGTGTGTGTGTGTGTGTGTGTGTGTGTGTGTACACGTATACATACACACATCTCAGGTAAGAAAGAAGGATGGAGAGAAGGATGGAGGGAGTTTTCCCCACGTTAGGGGAGGAGGATAGTTAGAAAAGGTTTAAGACGTTGGGGTACTAAACAGTTCTAGATTTCTTTCTCCTTTTAATTTTGGCACAGGTGATAATGAAAATCTTCCATAATTCCTATTGGAATTGACTAGGTTTCTTGGGTTTATAATTTATGTTCAACGTTCTTGGTATTTCATAACTGAAATTAAGGTGCATTCTAATGGGTGATCTCACTTTTTTATTTTTTTATTTTTTTATTTTTTATTTTTATTTTTTTTAAAGATTTTATTTATTTTATTTTTTCCCCCCAAAGCCCCAGTGGATAGTTGTATGTTGTAGCTGCACATCCTTCTAGTTGCTGTATGTGGCACTCGGCC